TATATATATATATATATATATATATATATATATATATACATATATATATATATATATATATATATATATATATATATATATATATATATATATAATATATATATATATATATATATATATATATATATATACATATATAGCATATATATATATATATTATATATATATATATATATATATTATATATATATATATATATATATATATATATATGTATGTATACATTATGTATATATATGGCGTTTATCTAGTTTATATAGTATATGTGAAATACGGTGGGATGTGTAAATTTTTGGCATGCCTCATAATGCGAAGACCGATAATTTTTAGGCATATATATATGTGTGTGTGTGTTTGTGTGTGTGTCTGTATTTTTTTTTCTGTATCTTTGATATGTTTGGAAAATTAAGTAGCCAAAAACAAACATAAAACACACACACGTACACATGTATACACATAAATTTATGCATATATGTATGTATGTTTATATGTATTAATCCATATTCATATATATTCACATTTATTTATCTTTCTATTTATATTTATATGTATTATATATATATATATATATATATATATATATATATATATATATATATATATATATATATTATATATATATATATATATATATATATATATATTATATATATATATATATATATATTATATATATATATATATATATATATATATATATATATATATATATATATATATATATATATATAGGTATATACAGTATAACAAATACAAATAAATAAATAAATATGAAGTTACATACTGTACATATATAAAGAGAAACTTTGGTATATACTAAATCCGATAAACGGTGGCACATTAACACATGTAACTTTCTATATTTGAATATTTAAAAGTCGGGTGACCCTCAAATAAGCTTTGGGGACCTGCATTTCACAAGAAGCTATATATAACACATGTCTATGACGTCACAACACTTGAGGCACAGAACCCACTATAAAAGACTCGGACCTTTCTCATTGCTTTAGTTTCTGTCGCGATTCCATCACAAACATGTTGTTTAAGGTGATCATCCAGGCAGTGTACAAAACGGGAATCTTTGGCCATTTGGTCTAAAGGGGCCATTATAAAAGACACGAACCGTTCTCATTGCTTTAGCTTCTATTACGATTCCATCACAAACATTTTCTTTAAGGTGACCCTCCACTCTGTACAAAATCCGAATTTTCAACTATTTGAAAAGTGGATCTTACTCTGAAACATATTTTTTTCAGGTATCTGTGTTAGTGGCGCTCGCAGTGGCCGTCTCAGCCCGACCCGAGACTCCTTCCTACTCTCCTCCCAGCCCATCCTACAGCGCTCCCGTCCATCCTTCTCCTTCCTATAGTGCTCCCATCTACAACGATGTGAGTGTGGACTTCAGTTGCTCTAAATTTGAGATCAACATTCACCTCATTTGCCGCATTTGTTCTTTTGCTTTATCTTGTAAATTTTTTAGTAATGTGATCGTATAAAATGTGCATCATTTTATTTTACATGCTCATTTTTTCCCCCTTTACAGGTTCCAGCCCATTACAACACCCAGTATGCCGTGAGCGACGAATACTCGGGTAACAACTTTGGGCATCAAGAGGACCGCGACGGCTACAAGACCCAGGGAACGTACTACGTGCAGCTCCCCGACGGCCGTCTGCAGAAGGTCACCTACTACGTCGACGGCGAGTCCGGCTTCGTGGCAGAGGTCACCTACGAAGGGGAAGCTCAGTACCCAGCCTATCAGCCCGCGCCATCACCTTCTTACGCATAATTCAGATGTGTTAGTCTGAAAATTTGTAATTCGGAAACAATAGTTTATTTATAATAAATGTGACTGCTGTAAATATGTCGATGTCTGATTCCAACACGCAATTTAACAATCGCATGATATAATCTTAATGCTAATATATATATATATATATATATATATATACTGTATATATATATATGTGTGTATATATATATATATATATTATGAACTAGCTGTGATTATAATACCCTCCGAAAACTGCAAAACTGATATGGATAAATCTCTAGAGAAAATTGGTTAATACATCACAGTGCTGTAAAACTGAAAATTGCTCTTATACCCTCTTCCCCACTTATTCTTTTTCCGTTCTCCCAGTTCTCTTCTATATGAGGTTCTCTTATCCCACGTGAGAGAGAGAGAGAGAGTGAGCACTAACTTCCATTTCAAACTAGAAAGTTTATATTATTCAGTGAGACATACATGCATAGAGCAACTGTAATGCCACATCCCATACGTGCGTAGGACACAAGGGTTTTTCTTATGGAATCAAAAGATACAGCGTGACTAAGCAAAGGGAATCAGAAAGCAGAGCGCCTTTAAAACAACCAATCTTACATCACTGGAATCTAGTCTCCCAAAATGAGCTTGATCTTAACATTCTTTTGAGTTTTTTGGATATGGAATAATAAAACTCTCTTAAATCTGCTGAACGGCATTGGATGCATTAATTAA